TCTCAGTTAATGAGATTCTCTAAGATTTTAACCTTACAAAGTCTACACTTAGAATTAAAAGAGTCAAAAGAGGTCATCTAAACAACAAAGAACAAAACAAATGTCAAAGCTTCTCACTTTATGTATGCAGGTCAATACTGTCATAAAGAAGAAAATAATTACAGGACATACATTTCTTTGGTCTTTGCATTATCCTAATATTTACTCAAGAGTATGCAAATAATATTCATAATAATGATAAAAGCAAATATAAAGTTATCTCAAATGTAATAGCTTAATATTTTTTTCTGGGCAGAATTTTCTTATACATTTTTCTGATATTAAAATAAAAATAATCTAAACTAAGAAATAAAACTCCTCATCTGACACACATCTCCCTGATCAACAAGATACTACACTTTAACAACTAAAAGTAAACAGCTGAAAATGCCCATGGAATACTTCACAGAACGGTAAAATAGAGAGAGTATTTTCTTATGAGTAGGAAATAATACAGCTTGCGTTCAGGAAATCCGATTCACTCCAAAATAATCTAAAATAGTCTCAGTAAAATAAATGCTGACTTCACTTGCTATCAATTCATTATCTTTTAATGTACTTGGTGAATCCTTTACAAACTAAACAGTGCTCACTTCAACCTAGCTATCTGCTGTATAAAATTACAAGGATGTACCACACTCTGTAAGATCTCTACCATCTAGCAGGTATGTAATTACTACATGATCACAGAGTAATTACTTTGTTATTAAGCTACCTTGATAAGGTTATCACACATGCTTTCCTCAATTCATCTGAATACTTGTCTACATTATAAAGTTTGTACATCACTGTTATCTAAGACAGTAAAATAAAATACATGCTACAGTCTGTACGGTAAAATATTCTGTTATCAAATATGTGTTCCTGCATGTATAAAGGTGATTATTCATCTTTTTTTTTTATAATGCCACTGATAAATATCAGTAAATAAATTAACTTGAATTTATCTTTTAATCAGTTTGATTTAGTTTATTTGTTTTTGCTCTTTTTTATATTGATTGCTGTTATAAAAAGGAAAGTCTTGTAATTTCCAATAAATCGCTAATTATATAATAGGTTATTGGTATTATATGCATTGCATGATGGCCTAGATTACTGTTAAAAACTAAAATATCAGATGATGCAGAAAAATTTAATCCAATACATTCATTTAGCTTATGAGCAGTTTGCCTAATATACCAAACTTTTGCAAAATATGATAGTAGGTCTGTTTATAACTTCCTTACCAAAAGCACTGACTAAAAGGGATTTCCTAGGGAGTGAAATGCACAATTTAATGGGATAACAGTAGTGCTGTAATTATAATATGTAACACAAAATATCCAATTCTATACAATAAATATAGAATGGAATTACTTTTTCATATGACTGAACATCATACATCTTATCATGCATGGTTTTAAGGAATGCTTTTGATACCGTTAAAACAATAAACAAGAACAATGACCAATATCAGCACAAAAAAATCTTTACAAATTTGTGCTAGAACTCATATATCCACAAAACTGCATAATACTTGCATTTGTCACTTACTTTTTCACTTATTATATAAAGCAGTCATTTAAAATAAGTGGAAAAATTTAAGCTCATTACTGATGAAAGGTATGACAACTCCGAACCCTTTCATCAATTATATTTGCTTTTTTCTACAAAAAAATATGATAAAACACCTCTTGGTTTGTTCATGTAGCAGACATATTCAGGTCAAAAGTAATACTGAATGAGTACAGAATCTACAATTTTCACAACATCTTTGTTGAAAATGAAAGCTCCTTCTTTATACCCTGCGTGAACTGGGGACCTTTTGCCAGTCCCTGTGGGCCCTTACGCAGCCCTGGGTCCTGTCCACGAGCTCTTCCAGAAGGGCCTCGGGCGTGACTGCGGTTAGGTCCCTGAGCCAGGGTCTTGTACTGGGTTTTTAAATTCTCAGGATTGGGCCCATGCCATGCCTGGTAATCAGTCCTACAAATGGAAAGAGTGAATTCAAAGTAAATTCAGGGTAACAGATATCATAAAGTCTTCAGTAAAGCTTCCAAATTTCTGGAGAATATGAACAATTGCTGTGTATATTGCCTTACGTAATTCAAATACCTATCAAAAAAAAGTTCAGACTGTGGTTTACTGCTAAGTAGGTGAAAGTAATAGCAATGTATAAGAAAATGAATATCACTCACAAGAGCAGGCCTTCACATGGTCCTTTATGAAGCCTGGTGTTTGGCCCAGTTGGTTTTGAACGGTGACCACTCTTAAAACCTGGATCTTCATCAGTGCTTGTCCCTGTTGACACTCTACAAAAAGGAAGTATATGGTGGGAATACATATGAATAACTCATAGAATGAGAGAGAGAAAGCCAAAGAGAAAGAGAGAGAGAGAGAGAGAGAGAGAGAGAGAGAGAGAGAGAGAGAGAGAGAGAGAGAGAGAGAGAGAGAGAGAGAGAGAGAGAGAGAGGGAGGGAGGGAGGGAGAGAGAGAGGGAGGGAGAGAGGGAGGGAGGGAGGGAGGGAGGGAGGGAGGGAGGGAGGGAGGGAGGGAGGGAGGGAGGGAGGGAGGGAGGGAGGGAGGGAAGGAGGGAGGGAGAGGGAGGGAGAGGGAGGGAGGGAGAGGTAGGGAGAGGGAGGGAGAGGGAGGGAGAGGGAGGGAGAGGGAGGGAGAGAGAAGGAGAGAGAAGGAGAGAGAAGGAGAGGGAGGGAGAGGGAGGGAGGGAGAGGGAGGAGGGAGAGGGAGGAAGGGAGGGAGAGGGAGGGAGAGGGAGAAAGGGAGGGAGAGAGGGAGGGAGGGAAAGAGGGAGGGAAGGAGGGGAGGAATGAGGAAGAGAGAGGGGAGAGGCACAAAGAGGGAACAAAATATCATAAACTTACCCCTGATTATTATGTGCCATGACCCTTTCAAACACCTTTTATATATACTTGCACTGCATATACCACTGACTCAAGACATCATGAAAATGTTAGCCACGGTATGTAATCTTATCTTGATCTGTTATTATCTAATCAGTCTGCTACAACTCACACTTCAATGAAACTGTATATTTAATTTCATTCCTGTTAGAACTGTATCAAGTATAGTTAGTGAAAGTCAAAAATGAAATAAATATAATATGGGACAAATGAACATAACTGACTCTTACGTTTGAGCTGCTGTCCAAGCGGTGTTGATTCTCGTTCGTGGTAAGGTTGGTCTTGATGTTTTTACACCTTCTCGTCTTGTCATTGGTGGAGAACCAATAACATTCAGATTAACATCTTTGGTCTCCGAACGCCTGTTGATAAAATACGTAAGTCTTAGAATAGAAGAAACTTTATACATTCAGTTGAAGTTGGTAAAGTCCTCCATTATTTGGACTGATTTAACTCTAAAGACTGGCAGAACTAAATTTAGTGACTGACCCCTATAACTTTTTGAACACTTTTTAAAGCCTGATCTATCTATCTTTTGCTTTGATCTGGGAGTATATGAAACAGATGAGGGGGGGGACACATGGATCTTGCTTCATAAAATCTTTGTCAACTTCAGTTGCTCACTGTTCCACAAATATATAAAGATTCATAATTTTTTTTTTTTTAGGGTCACAAGGTTAAAATATTCAAACTTTTTTTTTCCTTTTTCTCAATTATGGCATTAACAGTTAAAAGAAATACCTTGACATTTGAGGAGTTGTACTAGCAAGCGTCTCTTGAGTCTTGCGTTCTGTCTCAGCCATATTTGCCAGGACCTGACGAGCTCGTTCCTCCTCATAAAAGACTGACTGAAGTGCCATTGTTACAACAGTAGGTGTGATATCCGGATAATCCGAAATAAGTTGGTTGCGCACTGCGAAAACAAAATCAATTGACCACAAACTAGGAAAGCAAATACATGACCCTACCAACATATCTATGAATCATAAAATATCCCACCCATCCATTAAATTTCACAAACACGAATGAAAATCAAATCTCAACCTTTCTTCTTGTGCTTCTCGCTCAAGTTCTTAGGCCGTGGAGGTCCGGGCGACGGCTTCGGAACGGCCTTGTTTTCCTTCCCATCCGGCCGGTCCTTCAGCTTCGGAGGGGCCAGTGATATGTCCTTCTTTTCATGCCCCATCTCCACCAATTTCTCTGAGGCATCCTTGACGTTGTAATTACACTGTGTCAGGATATCCAAGATGATGGTGGGTTCCACCTTGGGGAATATTCCCTTCAGATACCTGAAAGAATCCGATGGAGATCAGAATTGATGTGAGGATGACGTATTAATTGTAATGATCAATAGGGTAAAAAGGAAAACCAAAGAGAATAGTAAAGAAATGAAAAAGGGTAATGATAGAAACAATTTGATATATTAATAATCATAGCAATAACAATAAGATTAATACCACAACAACAATAATAATAATGGCAATAATAACAATAATAATAATATAATAATAATAACAATAATAATAATGATAATGATAATAATAATAATAATAATAATAATAATAATAATAATAATAATAATAATAATAATGATAACAATAATAATAACAATAATAATAATAACTATAATAATAACAATAATAATAACAATAATAACAATAATAATAATAATAATAATAATAATAATAATAATAATAATAATAATAATAATAATAATAATAATAATAATAATAATAATAATAATAATGATAATGATAATGATAATGATAATGATAATAATAATAATAATAATAATAATAATAATAATAATAATAATAATAATAATAACAAAAGAGATAACAATAACAATAATAATAAAATATAATAAAAATATTAATAATAATAAAAATAATAGTAATAATAACAATAATAATAACAATACCAATAACAATAATAACAAAAAAAATAATAATAATAGTAATAATAATAATAATAATAGTAATAATAATAATAATAATAGAAATAATAATAATAATAATAATTACAATAATAATTTCAACAACAATGACTAGAACATAGTGACAA